TCCATCTTTGTCTTTCTTAATTTTAGTTGCTTTAAATCCACTTGTATCTGAAAATAAGATTGCAACCTCTCCTTTCTTCTGATTTCCATTTGCTTAAAATACTGTTTTCCATACCTTAAACCTGAATCTTAATTTGTCCTTCAAGGCTAGGTCTGTCTCTAGGAGACAGCATATGGATGGCTTGTGTTTTTTTATCCAATCAGCCAGCCTGTGCCTCTTCAGTAGTGAATTCAGTCCATTGACATTTATTGAGAGAACTGATAAGTGTGGTGGATTTTTATTCATCTTATTTTGTGAAAGTCTATTGTGTAGTTTTATCCTTTGCACCATTGAGGAAGCTAAGTTTTGACCTTTGGCTTCTAGTTGGTTCCTTTGCTTATAGTCCATTGTGGTGGTCATTGTTGAGAATACGTCTAAGTATTTTCTGTAGAACTGGTTTGTTGTGGCAAATTTCCTCAGTTGCTTGGATATCCACAAAAAAATTGATTTCTACATTAATTCTGAAGCTTAGTTTAGCAGGATACAGAATTCGGGTATGAAAACTGTTTTATTTAAGAATGTTGAAGATGGATGACCATTCTCCTCTAGCTTTAAAGTTGCAGACTTAAAGTTGCAGTTGAAAAGTCTGCTATTATCCTAATGGCTCTGCCTCTGTAGGTCAATTGGCGCTTATACCTGGCTGCTTGCAGAATTTTTTCTTTCATCTTGTCTTTGGACAGGTTCATTACAATGTGTCCTGAAGAGGCTCTGTTTGAGGTGAAATGACCTGTGGTTTGATATCCATCTGAAAGGAGTGTGTCAAGGTCTTTACTGAAACTTGGTGAGTTTTCATTTATGGTAAGTCTCCAGGAGGGCTTCCATTCCTTTGGAACAATCTTCTTCTGCTTCAAGAATCCCTTTTATTCATATGTTTAAATGCTTCATGGAGTCTTGTAGTTCTCCAAGGGCCTGTTCTGCTTTCTCTCTCTCCTTTTCTGCCTCTTTGACTACCTGGGTTAACTTAAACACTTTATCGTCTAGCGCTGAGATTCTTTCTTCTCCATGGTCTAATCTATTTTTGATACTTTCTACTGCATCTTTACATTCCCTGATTGTCTCCTTCATTTCCTTAAGCTCCACCATATCCTTTCTATATTATATGTATCTCTCCTCTGACTTTTGGTTCTATCTTTCCATTTTCTTGTCCATTCCTTTGATTGTCTTTACCAACCATATTTTAAATCCCCTTTCTGTCAAGCCCATTAATTCTTTATAGGTAGAGTCTTCTGCAGTAGCTGCCTCATGGTACCTTGGGGAGTTCCTCTGTTTTGACTTTTCATGTTGCCCGAATTTTTCTGTTGGCTCCTCAAGTGTTCTTTCTTCTTGTTCACATCCTTGGCCTCCTTTTTCCTTCTTATTGCCTCCTTTACTTCAAATTAGCTTGTCTCAGAGCTTAGGTATTAAAGTGGCCTCAGCCTGAGCAAACCCAAATAAACAAAAGCCCTTGCTCTTGATGACAATATGTTGCAATATGTCACCAGGACCCCAGGTGGTGCTGTGGTCTTTTTAGGAGACAGAGAGCAGAGCTAGCAACCTCTATGGTCCTTATTCCAAATTTAGTTGTCTTCAGTGATTGCCTGATTGTTTCTTCAGCATTCAGACCCTGCTGGGTTGGAATCTTAAAGTTCACAAGAATCCTTCAGGGGCAGGTCTCACACACCCTCTGAGATCAGTTCCTGTGGGATGCCTCAGCCTGTCCCAGGAATGGAGCTTTGATCCCAGCAGGCAAAATTAAGATGGCTATGCTTTAGGCCCCTGGTAAAACCTTCTCAAGACCCTCCCACAATGATAGCTGCCTGGCCACCAAGACCTTCTCAGTATGGCTTCCTCACAAGCCACCAAATCCATAGCAAATCCACTTCAATCAGCATTCAAATCTGGTTGCTGTATACTGTTTAAGTCTGCCTATTCTTTTAAGGTTTCCACTCCTCACTCAGCTTCCCCCAACAACTGAAAACACTGGAAAGGCTTCTTCCTGTCCAGACCTGTGGGGGAGGGCAGTCCATCCCAGCCAGTTGCAATCACTTGACTAATTCTTCAGATTTCCACAGCTCCAGATCACACCCTGCATCCAGTTCACCACCTCTTCGCTGTGCTCCCTGAGCTATGACTCTGGGTAAAGTCCCTGTACCAGGTATGACTGGGTTCTCTCTTTTTCCCCAGTCTTTCTAGGAGAGCTCAGCTGAATGATCCTTCTGGTCTGCCATCTTGTTCCACCCCAAAATCTGGCTTCTAATAGCATCATTTCATCTCTTATTTCTTTTCGAATAAGGAGCCCTTTTTTTTTCTTTTTTTGAGACTGAGTCTCACTTTGTCACCCTCAGTAGAATGCTGTGGCATCACAGCTCACAACAACCTCCAGCTTTGGGGCTTAGGCAATTAATTCTCTTGCCTCAGCCTCCCCAGTAGCTGGGACTACAGGCACTCGCCATGACGCCAGGCTATTTTTTTGTTGCAGTTTGGCCAGGGCCAGGTTTGAACCCACCACCCTCAGTATATGGGGCCAGCCCCCTACCCAGTAAGCCAGAGGCGCTGTTGAATACGGAGACTTTTAAAATATAGCCATTTATTCATAATTCACTCAGTATATATATTTTTTTGAGACAGAGTCTCACTATGTTGCCCTTGGTAGAGCACCATGGTGTCACAGCTCATAGCAACCTCAAACTCTTGGGCTTAAGTGATTGTCTTGCCTCAATCTCTCAAGCAGCTGAGACTACAGGTGCCCACCACAATGCCCAGGTATTTTTTTGTTGTTGTTGCAGTTGTCATTGTTGTTTAGCAGGCCTGGGTTGAGTTTGAACCCACCAGCCTTGGTGTATGTGGCCAGCACCCTACTCACTAAGCTACAGGCGCTAAGCCTCATTCAATATTTTTTAGTAAATGATGTTTATTAGGGACCACGAGATGCTATATATGACCTCTGCCTTGAAATACCTTCTAGTTCCTAGGAGGGATGAAAGGGTGTGTGCATACATGCGTGTGCACACACACATTCTAGGATCATTCTAAATTAATCTGCACCACTTAATCAGCCTATGAGACAGATGTTATAATCACTTTATTGGTGAAGAAATGAGTTCCATCATCTCATATATTTTATATCTGAATTCACTTTTAATGATTTCCTTAGTATATTAGAAAGTGAATTGTCAGAAATCCCTTAATTTGTTTTTTGTTTGTTTGTTTGTTTTTTTAGGAAATAGGTTTTTGCTATCTTAATTTGAACTGAACCAGCATCTTCTGAGACTATCCCTCAGGATGCAAATATCAAGGTGACCTCAGTTCCTCTTCATTCGTGTAAGAGAGAAAAACAGCTTCCACATAATGATCTAACTAGTTATTAGACAGTCACCCTTCTCCTATCCTCCCCTGGGTCCAGGTGTGAAAGCCATCATGGCCCTGGGCTGATAAGGGGAGGGGGGAGATGGCTTAGGAATGCTGCCAACCACTGTTAGATACACTATTGTTTGCTGTTGTGATAAAAGGGTTAATGATGCATGGCTAGTGTCCTACGCTTATGATGAGTAAGTAAATACAGTAACTTTGGGGAATGGTAAAAGAACTCTGTAAAGTTCTCTCAAAGTAAGCAGGCTTTGAGAAAGACCAACCTATCTTCCTGGGATTCTGAATCTTGGTAATAAAGGACAATTTTAACTTACACAGTGTTTGGCTCCTGGTTCTGATACCCTGCTTTCCTTCACAATTGAAATAGGAAAGAACATAAGACCTTAACACCAACAACAAGCAGGGGCTTCAGCTAAGGCGCATTGTCATCTTCTCCCATTCTTTCTGAGAAAGAAGCTCTCAAAAAAGCATACACATGGAAGAGCCACTTCATGGTCTTCACTCAGTTTTCTCAGACTCGGCCTGATTTAGTCTGTGATTATGCAAATCCAGAGGACTGAGCCAGTGGACAAAGGGAAGATAATTATCAAACAAGGAAAGTACTCAAGACCTGTGCCAAGGGAGAGATTGCTGTAAATAATCACAAGGAAATTCGCAAATGCAGGGTTGAGGAGGAAGAGAAAAAGAAAAATGTCACCTGTAAAACCAACACCAAAGCTGACAAGTAATTCCACTGTTTGCCAAGGCACCTGGAGAAGAGCCTTGTGCTCCATGGCACCCTTCAAAGTGACATCCACATGACACACAGAACAACCTGCCTGGCCACACAGCACAGTAAACATCATAAAGGTCCCACCAGGCAACAGCTGCGCACTCCTTACCGTAGGCAGTTTCTTGGTGTTCCAGTTCTCTTCTCAATCTGTTGTAATCTTCTTTAACACTTCCCAACTTTTTACCATTTCTGGAACTCAGCACCAACAGCTTGTTGAGGAGTCCCTCCAGCCCTTCTCTCTCTAATGTTAATGATCTAATCTCCTCGGTGAGGTCCTTTGCTGTACAGAAATGATTTCCTACAGCACATCGTGGGGGAGAAGAAGAGAAAAGAAGCTTCACAGTATGCACGAACATACAAAGTATAGCAGCAGCTAATACACTCAGCACAGCTAAAGGCGTGGAGCCCTGCAGCTACGTGCCACTTCTTTAACAGCCCTGTCCTACACTAACTGGAAGAACACTAACATCCTTGAAGTGGGAAAACTGCCTGTCTTTATATCATCTTATTCTTGTTATGTCTGTTTTAGGGGTTCCATTGGCTAAGCCATGCCTGTGAAACATGACAGCCAAAAAGTGTCCTGGTGGAGCGCAGGGAAGCCACAATGTATTACCCCACTCAAATATCCCAATGTCAAAGATGTGACATATTATAGCAGGTGAAAAGGGACTGGGTCTTGGAGTCAAACTAGACATAAATTAAAATCCTAGTCCCCTTGTCACTCAAACTGCATGACCTGGAGCAAGGAAATCAGCACACCTGGAACAAACTTCTTATAAAATACGATTGTAACAACACCTGCATCATAAGTGCTTGCTAGAATAAATAAGAAATTTTGTAAAGTATTGAGAAAAATATATGGCATATTGAATGTAACAAGGTTACAGGAAACAAGGTCAAAATACAAAGATCAATTGTCTAAATATTAAACAATTAGAAGATGTTAAAAATAATTCAGAAAATCAACAGAAAGGAAGCCAAACTCTATAAAATAATTTAAAGAAGTTTATTCTCAGCCAAATTTGAGGATCCTGGTTCAGACCCAAATCCAAGAAGCCTCGAACAAGTGGACTTACTGGGGTTGGGTAACAATTTGGTTTTATACAGTTCAGGGAGGCAAGAATTACACACAAAGTCATAAATCAATACATGGAAAGTGCACATTGGTTTGTTGCAAAAACGTGAGACATCTCAAGGGGCATACAGTTATAGGTGGGTTTAAAAACTCTTTCATTTGTAATTGGTTAAAGAAATGAAACTTTATTTAAAAGTTGGGAATGTTTTAAGTTAAGATAAGGAACTCCGTTATTGTGAGATGACCCACGGGACATACATCCAGACTCAAGTGCTGTGTATACTGAAGACCTGCAGCTTTGCCTTGCGTAGCTCCAGGACTGTCAAAGAGCTACAAAGGATGTCTGCAAGAAGGAAGGGAGGCATGATGAGATGCTTCTGGAATCCCTTCTCAGGGCCAGCAGCTCAGTTTTAGGGTATCCCCTTCATCAAGAAGGGGTCCAATCAGTCAGCAGCTGAGAAGGAAGAGCCTTATTCAGTTCACAAGAAGATACTTAAAAGCTCAAAATTCTCAGGGATAAATTTTTAAGATATGTACAGCTCTCCAGTGACAACTAAAACTGCTGAGAGAAATTAAAGACAAATAATTAGACAGATATACTATATTCATGTATTTAAAAATTCAGCATTGCTAAGATTTCAATTTTCCACAAATTGATTCATTAATTTAATATAACTGTAATCAAAATTGCATGAGACTTTTGTACAAATTTATTAGCTTATTTTAAAATATAAAAGAATGAACTCAGGAACTTGAGGCTATAATGTACTATGATTGTGATTTGGAATAATCACCATACTCTAGCCTGGACAGCATAGTAAGAACCTATCTCTGAAAAAAGAAAAGAAAATATAAATAAAAGTGCAAAGGCCCAAAGCAATTCTTTAAAATGTAGTCCTGATTTCAAGACTAAGTTAGATAAATCAAGACAGTATAGCACTGGCAAAGGGCTAGGTAGAGAGACAAATGGATCTGTGGGATAGACAGTCCAGAAGTAGATCTGCATGCATATGGCCAACTGATTTTCAACCAAAGTGCCAGAAGTCAATGAAAAAAAGAAAGGATTTGCAGTAAACTGTGCTGGAACAACTAGCTATCTATATTATGAAAATATTAACCTTGATCCATGCCTCAAACCACACAAAAAAATTAATTAAGGATAAATCATAAGCCTAAATGTAGCAGTTGAAACTAGAAAGCTTCTAGGAAGAAATATGGGGGAATATCTTGTTGCCTTCAGAGTATGTACAAACTTTAGACAGGACATAGGAAACACTAACCATGAAAAGGAAGAACTGATAAATGAACTTCATCAACATTATAAACTTCTGCTCAGCAAAAGATACTATTTAAAAAATGACTAGGCATTTGATGAAAAGTTTCTGAGAGAGTTTACTTTTGTGGTGGACACCATGGAGTATTACGCAGCCTTAAAGAAAGATGGAGACTTTACCTCTTACATGTTTACATGGATGGAGCTGGAACATATTCTTCTTAGCAAAGTATCTCAAGAATGGAAGAAAAGGTATCCAATGTACTCAGGCTTACTATGAAACCAATTGATAGCTTTCTTATGAAAACTATAACCCAATTATAGCCCAAGAAGAAGGGGAAAGGGGAGATGAAGGGGGGGGAGGGGTGAGGATGGGTAGAGGGAGAGTAATTTATGGGACCACACCTACAGTGCATCTTACAAGGGTACATGTGAAATTTACTAGGTGTAGAATATAAATGTCTTAACACAATAACTAAGAAAATGCTGTGAAGGCTGTGTTGACCAGTTTGATGAAAGCATTTCAGATTGTGTGTGAATCCAGCACATTGTACCCCATGATTGTATTAATGTACACAGCTATGATTTAATAAAAAAAGAAAGAAAGAAAACCAAATAATTAATAAATATGTGAGATGATACTCAAGTTCACCAGTAATAAGGGAAATTCAAAATAATATACTTATGAGACTTAAAAAAAAAATGATTAGTCAAGTCACAGACTTGGAGAAAACATCTGCTACCCATTTGTCTGACAAAAGACTTGAGTCCTGCAACTCAACAGGCAAAACACAAATGGTGTTGCCAAAAAATGGGCAGTGACTTAGGCATTTTTCAAAGCAAGATATACAAATGGCCAATAAACACATGAAAAAGTGCTTGACACCACTGACCATCAGGAAATCACAAACTAAAACCATAGAGATTCCACCATAAACCCACTGAAATGGTTTGAATGAACTAGACTAAAAATGTCAACACTGGCAAGGATGTGGAGGAATGGGAACTCTCCCAGGTGTAAATGGAACAGGCCTTTTGAGACAAGTCCTGCCAGTTTCCCTGGAAGTTAAACATGCATCTACCCTGTAATCCAACAACTCTACTTCTAAGCATTTGCACAAGAGAAATGAAAACATAGAATCAGAAATACTTGTACTTCAGTGTTCATAGCGGCTTTATGAGTGAGAACCCCAAATTGGATCCACCACCAGAACCAGAAACAAGGGCAGACTCCTCAGCAATAGAAAGAAACAAACTTTTCATGCCCTCAGAGACAAGTACATAGCCCTCCTCACCACCCCCCAAAAGACATAAAACACTACCTGCCATATGAATCCATTGAGTTCTAGAACAGACCAAACTAATTCATGGTAGAAGACATCAGTACAGAAGTCATCTTGGAAGGAAGGAGAAGGACTGAGAAAGGACACCAGAGTGGTGTTTTGGGGGTGATGAACACGTTCGCTATCTTGACAAGGTGGCTGGTAACACAGGTATCCATTCATAGCACTGTACAATTAACACCTGCTCACTTCACAAACACAAATCAGACCTCAATAAAAAAGAGGAAAATTTTACACAGAAAAATCAAATCATAAATTCATAAAAACATATCACATTAAAAAGTGTCCCAAAAATAATAGTCACTGTTATTAAAAGGCATGACTATGTTTTCTAAGAATTTATTGTAACCATAATCACAATAATAGCTATAAACCTTCTCTCCTTTTAATCTCACCACAACCTTGGGAGAGAGATCACATCCTATATTGCTGATTTTAATAAGCATCATTTTGTTTTTTGGTGTTTTTTTTTAACATTTTAACATCTCTGAAACAGGTACGTATCACACATCACTATCATCTGGAAGGCAGGCAGGATGCAGTTGTTACAACTCAATTATACGTGGTGGCCTAGCTGACCACATGCAACTCCCTGGTGTCTCAATGCAGAAACTATTTTAGGACCATTTGCGTTCTGGCTGTTCCTGAAAACCTTCTGCTAACATAGATTTATAAGATCAGGAAAGTACCAACATTTAAAACTTGAGGAAGGGTGTTAGCAACTTGGCAGAAAGTCCTGCAGAAAACAGTAGTCCATCCTCAGGGCAGGGGAAGGGTGAGGCTGGTAGGGGAGCTGCCATGGCATAGAGCAGTGGTCCTCAACCTTTTTGGCATCAGGGACCAGTTTCATGGAAGGATGGTTTTCTGGATGATTCAAGCACATCTCCACCTCAGTGCATCAAGGAGGGCATAACTTAGACCGCTCAAGTGCACAGTTTACAGCAGGGTTTGAGCTCCTAGGAGAATCAAATGCTGATGATCTGATAGGAGGCAGAGTTCAGGCAGTGATGACGGAAGTGGGAGTGGTACCGGTCCGTGGCCTGTGGGTTGGGGACTGCAGGCCTAGAGGACGATGCTGTATGGGGAACATGAGCCTCAACCACTTTGCGTCAATATGGATCTTAGAAGATTCAGACTAAATACGAAATACTTTAGGAAAACCTTAACCAATTTATTTTCCTTTTTAAAGAGTGACTTACGATCTTTTAAAAGCTTAAATACATCTAAGAGCTGTTTCAATAGCTCTTTCTGAGCCTCAGGAAGTGTGGCGTCATTGTTTAATTGACAGCAATTTTCTTTCTTTATAGCATATAAACTAGTGGTGCTTTTTATGCTCACTGGAATACACAGTGTTATCTCTATAGCTGCGAAAATGGAAATCCAGAGAACTAAGGCATGTTGCTTGAGATCACATGCAAGTGAACAGCAGGGCAAGCTTCCAGCGTGAGCTCAAGTCCAGAATCCCTGCTCTTAAATACTGAGTGACACTGTTTGCTGCTTTATTTTACAAAATGCTTTCCCACCGCGAAAGCATGAGCACCCGGTATGTAGCATCTGTCACTGCAATCTATACTTTCCAGTTTCATGATTACATAAATATCTTTTTG